TGGCTCCCCTACCATCCGCAATACCTGCAGGCTCAGACCTCAGCACTGGCCGAAGTCCTGGCCCCTGGGCTCAGCGCTGCGTGCAGACAGCAGTCCCCCACCATGTTAGCATTTCCCGCAGACTCCCACTCCCACCCTTTGCGCTCCCTGTAGACCCAACCTCCCAGCGCGGCACTTCCTGCATTTCCCACCCCAGCCTCACCCTGAACCCCAGCCTCAGTGCTAGCTGCAGACCTCCAACCTCAACATTTCTGCAGGCCCTCAGTCCTCTTCCAGACCCGTCCTCACCATTCCCAGATTCTCGGAGCATTGCTTTTATTACTGACATCCTCACCCTGGCAGCTCAGACTCCCCTCCTGCCCAGACCCTGAAGCCTTGGCAGGCACTTTCTCGCCCCTGCCCACTTGCCACATCCTCACTCACAAAGCTCTTCCACACCCGGCCTTCACCGTGAATCCCTTCCCTTGCATGCTCAGTTGTTGCCCCCCTCCCGGGAGGGATTTCCTGAAGTGGGAAAGGTGCCTCATCCTTTCCCTCGCCCGGACCTCCTCCCCCAGGCACCTATGGAACAGTGTTCAAGGCCAAAAACCGGGAGACTCATGAGATCGTGGCTCTGAAACGGGTGAGGCTGGATGACGACGATGAGGTAGGTCTGGGGACGGAGCCAGGGAGGGGGTTGAGGGCTGGGCTGGCTGGGATCTGACTGTTGCCTGCCCGGCTCCCTCACACATGCAGGGAGTGCCAAGTTCTGCTCTCCGGGAGATCTGCCTGCTCAAGGAGCTGAAGCACAAGAACATTGTCAGGTGTGTAGCGGCAGGCCAGGGCCACCCTGGTCTGGGTTGGAGGAGGTGGGGGCTTCAGCGGGGGCCAGGCTGATATTGGGATGTTAGGTGCAAACTTGTGCACTTGCCTGGCTGAGCCCTTCCTTTCCCCTAGGCTTCATGATGTCCTGCATAGTGACAAGAAGCTGACTTTGGTTTTTGAATTCTGTGACCAGGTGAAAGGGGAGCTTAAGGGGTAACAGCCTTGGGAGGGTGCAGGGGCCCAGACTGAGGTTAAACTCTGTCCCATTTTCCCACCACATCTGTTTTTAGGACCTGAAGAAGTATTTTGACAGCTGCAATGGTGATCTCGATCCTGAGATTGTGAAGGTGAGAAGAGTGGTGTCTGTGGGACTCCTCCAGGCTAGGGTTGGAGTCTGTTTTCAGTGCAAGCACTATTTGAGCACCAAGTTTGGACCCTGAGGCCAGGCGTGGTGGCTCACGCTTGTAATCCTAGCACTCCGGGAGGCCGAAGTGGGGAGGATTTCTTGAGGTCAGGAGTTCGAGACCAGCCTGAGCAAGAGCAAGACCCCGTCTCTACTAAAAATAGAAAATTAGCCAAGTGTGATGGTTCACACCTGTAGTCTCAGCTATTCCAGAGTCTGAGGCAGGAGGATCACTTGAGCAGGAGTTTGAGGTTGCTGTGAGCTAGGCTGACGCCACGGCACTCTAGCCAGGACAACAGAGTGAGACTCTGTCTGAAAAAAAAAAAAGAAAAAAGTTTGGATCCTAAAAAGGGACACTTTGGGGTGAGAGCAACACTCTGACATCAGTGATATTATTTACACTTGAGAGATGAGAAAATGAGGCTCAAAGACATACAGTCATTCATTCAGCAGATAGCTACTAAATGCTTCACTGTGTATCAGGCACTGTCCCAGGCCCAAGACCAAGTGCCTTGATCCAGGGGAACAGGGTCCGAGCAATGCCATAGCACACTGTTTATGTTGGTGGCTATGGCACGTTTCAGATGCAGCCAGGCAGGGAAGACAGGCAGGGAAGATCAGCACGGGCTGGGAAGGCAGGAAGGCCCATTAGGCTGTAAGGTCCAGAAAGCAGGGGAACAGGACCAGCTTGTTTGCTGTTGTCCCTCAAATGCCGGGCACAGTACAAGCAGGTCCTGGACAGTGAGTGAATGGTGGTGTACCGAGCTGGGTGCTGAAAGTGGATGGTGGGTGGAGTGAGGCAGAGGGTGAGGAAGGAGATGACCCATCTTTGGGCACAGCTGCAAGACCGAGGTGTCTGACTCCCTCCTCCTTGCCCCCCACCCCCAGTCATTCCTCTTCCAGCTGCTAAAAGGCCTGGGATTCTGTCACAGCCGCAACGTGCTGCACAGGGACCTGAAGCCCCAGAACCTACTAATAAACAGGGTACTTGTAGGGGAGAAGGTGGGAGATGGGGGAGGCCGGAGCCAGGGGCTGGGGGGCGCTGAGGGGACAGGCCGGGCAGGAGGGAGCCTGAGCCTGCCCCAGGCCTGCTAAGGGCCCTTCTCCTTGTCCTCTTCCATCCCCTTCAGAACGGGGAGCTGAAGTTGGCTGACTTCGGCCTTGCTCGAGCCTTCGGGATCCCCGTTCGCTGTTACTCGGCCGAGGTGACTGGAGGGTGGGCTGCAGGTCGAGGGAGGGAGTCCCTCAGCTCCTACCCCAGGACCCAAAGCATTATTTTCCTCTCCTCTCTGAGCTTCTACCTTGAACCTCCTCCCCAGACCTCTAAGTGTCTAAGTGGGAGGTCCCCTCTGGGCTGGGTCTCCTCCAGGTGGTCACGCTGTGGTACCGCCCCCCGGACGTCCTCTTTGGGGCTAAGCTATACTCCACATCCATCGACATGTGGTCAGCCGGCTGCATCTTTGCAGGTGACACGATGGGGCTCTGCAGGGGCACTCTGCCTCCCATTTGGGTTGACAAACAGGGTCTGGAGGGGCCCTCTGGGGGCTGGGGATGGAAGGCGTGGGGTCCCTTGGTGTGAGGTGTCTTACCCCCCACTTTCCTCCAGAGCTGGCCAACGCTGGGCGGCCTCTTTTCCCTGGCAATGACGTCGATGACCAGTTGAAGAGGATCTTCCGATATCCTTCTACTTCCCTCTGCCTTGAGCCCTCTGGAAGGGGAGTGAGGCCTGGGCCAGGACGGTGGGGTCTCAGGGCTCCTCCTGAGGGCGAGCGGGGAGAGCAGGGGGCTGGACACCCTGACTGTAGGCAAGCAGGGCGCTGGGGGCAGAAGCTGAGAGGGAGCTCCTCCAGATAAGCCATGGATCCTTAGGGTGCGGGAGCCAGAGGGTGCAGGGCAGCTTTGTGGGAGTAGCAAGAGGGACTGGTCCATCAGGACCAGACATCAGGACGTGGGCTAGGTGAGGGAAGCTGGTGGGGCCAAGTGGGGGCCTGCCTCTGTCACAGCCAGTGAGGAGGAAGAGGGTGAGAGGAGGCTGTGGTGCGGTAAGGAGTGCCCCCAGGAGGGGAAGGTACAGAAGGTACAGATGAGGCCCTCTCTGTGAGTGATCCTTGACCCTGTGGACACGCTGCTGGGGACGCCGACTGAGGAGCAGTGGCCCTCCATGACCAAGCTGCCTGACTATAAGGTATGACGGAGTGGGGGTCGTGGTTTATTGGGATCTCTTTCATGTTCCTAGCAGCCTGCACACCCCAACACCCCTGGTCTGCCTCTCTCTGCCCCCCACAGCCCTACCCAATGTACCCAGCTACAACATCCCTAGTGAATGTCGTGCCCAAGCTCAATGCCACAGGGAGGGACCTGCTGCAGGTAGGTGACCAGGGTTAGAGGCTGGGGTCCAGACACTTGTCCAGAGGGACTAGAGGAGGGTGGGGCTCTGGGCAGCTGACCTGTCCTGAACTGGCCACCACCTTTCCTCCCTGTCTCCAGAACCTTCTGAAGTGTAACCCTGTGCAGCGCATCTCAGCAGAAGAGGCCCTGCAGCACCCCTACTTCTCTGACTTCTGTCCCCCCTAGGTGCCAGGACTGCTGGCCACCAGGCTGGGGCCTGGCCTGTTTAAGCCCCCTCCCGGGAGGGGCGGGGCCAGTGGGGATGCAGCTCACATGCTGAGCTCCAGCTGTGCTGGGCCCGGCCACGGTGGAGGTGCCCAAGCTTGTGTTCGTCACTCCCTCCATGGACTTTATTTAATTTCATAAATTGACTCCTTTCCCACAGTCTGGCTGATGTGGTGTCCAGTGGCTCTGCAGGGGTGTGGGCTGGGGATCTCTGCTCTGCAGCCCTGCCTCAAGCTCAGATTGACCCACTGTCCACTGCTTGGCCCCCCACTCTAAGGGTCCCAAGGCTGGAAGCTGGAGGCCATGACCCACCCCTCACCGCTGGGGCCAGAGCAGCCTGTCTCTGCACACCTGTGTTCATGCACACCCCTTCCTCCCTCCACCTGGGAGGGTGGCGGCCAGCGCCTGAGAGCAAGGATGGGCTTCCCCTTGTGGTTCTCCATATCCCACGTGGACCCTCCTGTCACTTTCCTCCTCATGCCCCCATACTCAGGCCTGCAGGCTGGGAAACAGAGATCCAAAGGTGTGGTTCCAGTAGGACCTCCCCGTCCCTGCGTTTGTCAGTTTTCCAATGTTTGGGGTGCAGAGAAAGAAAGAAATTGAGCCTATGGCTGGGGCCTGGTGTGTCCTTACTGGCAGGAGGGGAGAGGGAGGGCTCACCCTACCCCCATGGTCTTAGGCGGGGGCCCTCGGCTCTCGTGGGGAGGCTGGGGAAGCAGGAACTCTTTCATGGAGATGGGCTGTGTGCCACGCTTGGTCCCAAGTGTGAGAAAAGGAGTCATGATCTCCCATGGCAGGACGACAGCTGTGTTCTTGGGAGTGGAATGATCCCCCCATCCTCTCCCTGCCTCCTCCCCTGCTCCTAGCCCTGCCTTCACTGCGTGGACACTATCTACTGGCTGGCTCCTCTGTCCTCGCCCCTACGCTCTGGGCGTGGGCAGTGCCTGTCCTCCCTTCTCTCTGAGATGTCAGCCTGATAGACTCGTTCACACCGAAGTGCCCGTGACTGATGTCCTTGTACTCCCATTCTCTCCCAGGGGTTCGTGGGGTTAACTGGGGCTCAGCTCCCCGTTTCAGAAGCCATACCCAGGGGCACGATGGCTGGCAGAGGACTTCTGTGCCTGAGTAGGGCTGACCTGGGCCTGGCTAGTCTCTCCGCCGTAAGAGGAACACCTGAGGCTGATGCATTAGGACTTTATTGGGGTGAAGATGGCAAAGCTCTGCAGGCTGGGCATGTCCAGAATGCCAAGGTGTGGCCCCAAAAACACAGCAGGTCTAGAGCCGAGTGACAAGGTAGCAAGTGCGGTGGGAGGCGGAGAGAGTCTTGGTGACAGCACAGGGAGGGGTGGGAGGCCTGTGGGACAGACCACAGCGCTGGGGCCAGAGGCCTTCACACCGACTGCCCTGCTCCTGCCCCTGTCCTCCTGGACCTGAAGTTCGCCCCTGGACCGGACCTGCCCCATCTCCCTTGGCCACAGGGGGCCATGTGGCTTTACCTGGGGCCCAGGCTGAGGTGGGGAACTTGGCTTCGATGGCCGCCCAGCCTTTCCTGAAGCTGTGGGAGGAGGCAGAGGGTCATAAGTGGAGAGGGGTCCTCCTCCCAGGGACCAGCCAAGGTCACTGCACACCCCTCCCTGCCACGCTGTTTTTCCTCGTGAAGGTAGGGAGGATGTTCTAGGGTTTGGGGAGGGGCCTAGCACCCCACTAAAGGGGGGGGCGGGGGGGCTGTTACCAGGTTGGTGCTGGAGTGCCTTTGGGAGCGCCTTCGATTCCAGAAATACCCCAGGACCCGGTCTTGGAACACCTGGAGGCAAGCAGCAGGGAGAGGGCCAGTGCACACCTTCCCCCTGCGTCCTGGCGGTGGACTCCTCCCCTCCCCCAGTGGGGGCCCTGGCCCACCTCACAGAGGTAGTCTAGGATCTCAAGGATGGTGAGCAGGCTGGCCCCAATGAACAGCCCCATCTGGCCCCCAATGTCGCCTGTGGAGACAGGGTCACCTTTCAAGTCACAGCCACCTGCTTCGCCTACACCTCCCTAGCCAGGGGAGCTCTGCACACCTAGCAACGCTGACATTTCGTAGGCCTTCTTCTGCTCCACCGCCTCGTAGTTGAGGGCCTCAAAGAAGATGTCCAGGACCAGCATGTTTTCCCTGGAGGAAAAAAAAAAAGGCCTCGAATGTTCGCTGGACACCCCCTGGTGCCAGCGACTGGCAAGAAGCCAGTGTGGGAACGCTGGTCCCTTCGTCTGCAACCCCGGAGGAGAGGTTAAGCAGCTGGCGCGCAGGCGCCGCGCCCACGCCGCGGCGGGGTCGGTGTCCCGCCCCGGCTGTGCGCGCTAGGGCTGCGACCCAGCCCGCCGGAGCCTGTCAGCCTGCTCGGGGGCCGCCGGCCCCGCCCCGGCCCGCCCCGGCCCGGCCCGGCCGGCTCACGCGATGTAAGCCTCGCTGCGGTTGAATTTCCGGGCCAGGTAGCGGGCGGCGGCGCGGCTCGGGATCCGCACCATGGAGAGCTCCTTGGCGTAGCGCGTGCTGGCGCAGGGGTTGGGGCAGGCGCACGCGTCCTTACGCTGCATGGCGTCTGCGGGCACAGAGTGGGTCAGCGCCGCCCGCCCGGGGCTCGGGGTCAAAGGCGGAGCGGGGTAGGGACGGGGAGGCGGGCGAGGCTCGCCCCTTACCCAGGGCCGCGCTGGCGCAGTCCTTGTGCTGCTGGGGGCTGCACACTGGCGCGCCGCCTGGGGCGGGGAGGGGAGGAGACGGCGTCAGGGGCGGCCCAGCGCCCCCGGTTCCCCCCAAGACACCACCCCTCCTCAGCCCCTTACCAGGCATGTGCATCATTCGACAGCCGCACTTCCGAGCCACGTAGCGGGTCTCGCAGACCAGGCGACACCCCATTAGGCTATAGGGAGGGCTGCTGCTGGTGCTCCGGGGATCCGGGGGGTCAGAGGGCTCAGGCTCAAAGTCAGGATCCAGAGAAACGGAACTGCAGTCACCCCAGGGCGGTGGCAGGAAGCTCAGCTGTGGAGGGATGGGTCAAGGAGGCTCTGGGAGAGGGAGGTCCTGGGGTGGAGGCCCGGACAGGTCTGAGACACTGAGGGTTTGGGGTCTGCGGTGTCGCGGGCACCTTGGGGGGGGCGGTTTGAGGCACAGGTGAGGATACTTGCTGCTGCTGGCAGGCCACGAAAGTCTGGTAGCCGGGGGCCACCCCAAAGCCCAGCTGGTCGACGAGGGGCGGCTCCTCCTGGCTGTGGATCTGCACGCGGATCCCCACCTCCAACAGGGTCTCCTCTGCAGGACAGGGGCCTTTGAAGCCTGAGGCCCCTCTGTCAGGTCTCCTGTCCCAACCAGGCAAGACCTCCCCTGAAGCCCCCTCCCCCCAGGACTAGGATGAGCCAACCCTGCCCTTTTTCACAGGAAAGGACATGCTTCTGGGCCCATCCTGGCCTCCTCCCCGCTCTCCTTCCCCTAGCCTTTTGCACTCCATCCGTGTCCCCCAGCCTTGACGTGTGCTCCACGCGCACGTCCCTACCCACAGGCAGACCCCCCTGCCTCACATGTGTGCTCATACCCATGTCCTTCCACATGGGCAGATACTCCTCCTGCTGCACGTCCAGCATGATCTCCAGCCCATTGCCAGTGCCACCCTTGGTGGTGGTGAGCAGCTCTGCCCCATCGGCGCCAGAGTTAAAGGTGTAGCACTGCCCCATCCGGGTGAAGATCTAGGGACGCGCAGACAGGATGACAGCCCTCTCCCCCAGGAGAGGCAAGCACGTGGGCCGTGGGAACTCTCCCCTTCTCATGCTCTGTTTGGGTCTCTTCTCTGAACACTGCAGCCCGCATCTCAATGTCCCCAGCCCCACCCCCTGTTGGGGCACATGTAGTTGGACCCTTTTGGGAACCCATCACTCCACCTCTCCACCCCCCTCACCAAAGCCCAGGGCACAGCCCACAGGGCAAGTGTTTCTCTGGGTCCCAGGTGCCCTCTGGAATGTTGAAAGGCAGAGGCAAAGCAAGTCCCCTCCCACTGGCAGAGAGAGGGGTCTGCTGCCCCAGAATAGCCCCACTAGGGAGACTGTCTCCCACCCTCAGGAGCAGGGTCTCCACAGGCCAGACCATGCCATTTTGCACTCCCACCATGCCTGGAGCCAGTCTCAGGCATGTCCCTCCCAAAGAGGACTGCTTTCCTGGCTGGACAGAACGTAGCCTGTGCGTGCAAAGGAAGGGATCCCTGGGCAGAGGGTGTTAAGGTTCCCGACTTTGGGGGAGCCTGGCTGGCAAGGCCAGGGATTCTGGGTGCTGGGCAGGGACTAGCTGCCCTCTGGGTCCCTGGGCAGGACAGGTAGGGCAGCCAGCTCACCGCAGTGAAGTTCTCGGGCCCACACTGTTGGCCTTGGTAGCGGCAGTCCAGCAGCATGTCGTCCAGGGTGTGCCCAGCCCGGGCGTAGAGCTGTGCCACGTCGAAGGTGGGACTGGGCATGAAGCCGGGCGGTGCGGGGGGCCGGCCCAGGGCACGCAGGAAGGCCGTGTGCTCAGCGGGGTCCAGGCCCAGCAGCGCGGGTCCAGCCCAGTGCAGGTCATTGGGCGTGAGGCGCGAGCGGCGCAGCGGGTTGATGTTGCACAGGGTGACTGCTGGGAAGGTGAGCTGGTGGCTTTCTCGCTCTTCCAGGGCCGTCTGGTGGTGGAACTCCTGGTAGTAGCTCACCCTCTCAGCCACCTGGTAGAGGAAGGTGGCCACCGACAGGAGCATGGCCACGGCCCACAGCCCCCGGCGCACGGTCAGTCTGCCTGGCCCGAAGACGTGGCCCAGCCCATGCAGTGTGCAGCTGCTGGCAAATACGCGGATGTCCGAGGCCCGCTGCCGGGCCTCCTCTGGCCCTGGGGGCTTCATGGCCGGAGCCCAGAGAGTGCTGAGCAACTGCGAGGGCTGGGGGCTGGTGACCAGCTACAGGGGCTTGGAAGGAGTGAGAGAGGGTCGGTGGGAGGGTTGGGAGGGTTGAGACAGGATTCTCGTGTCCAGGCAGGGGCCACCGCAGGTGAGGCAGGGGGAGGAAAGCAGAGGAGTGGGTGGGAGAGGAGTTGAGGGTGAGAGGTGGGAGGTGCTGGCCTGGTGGGCTTGGAGGAGGTGACCTGGGTGGTCCAGTTCGGCCTTCCCCAGGAACAGGCGGTGGCTCCGCTGGGCCAGGCACTGGGCAGGGCTGGGGGCTCCGCAGCCAAGGCCAGGTGGGGCGCAGCCAGCCGTGGCAGGCAGGGGCTGCCGAGAGGCGAGTGGCGCTGGGGCAGTTTGCTGAGCTGAGCTGCCGCAGAGGATTGGGTTTCAGCAGCGAGGGGGGCAAGGGGCTGGCTGAGCAGCCTGGGGGGCGGGGGAGGTCCCTGGGGCCCCAGGCTAAGCCATTAGTGCAGTGTGTGGGGGGGCGCGGCTGTTGGAGACTAGAGGCGCCAGGAGGAAATCACAGTGATCCTGGCTAGGGCTTGAGGGCATCCCTGAGATAAGTTGGGCCAGGGGGTGCCTTTGAGGCCTTCTAGGTTCAAGTTGCAGCCCCTGTATGCCAGGCCCGAGGGTCAGTCGCTGACCCTTGGCCTGGCTCCTCCATCCTTCTGCCTCCCCTGTCTTCCCACTGACCTCACCCGGGAACATTTTTTCTTTCACAGAGTAGTGCTGGCTCTTTACCAAGCTGAAAAGTGGTTGGAACTTTGGCATCGCTAGACCTCTTCTTTCTGCCCCCAGTGTCCCAGCCTACGCTGGATGGCCGGGGGCCTCTTCAGGTCCCACATCCAGGGCCTGGCTGTTTCTTGAGTGTCCCTCTCTCCCTAAAGAGACCTCACCTCCTCACGCTCAGGCCCTCCTACCGGGGAGACTGCCTCTACCATGATGAGCGTGGGCTCCCCTGCCACCGCCCCCCCATGGTAACATGGGTGCCCCACCTGCCATCCTCCCAGGTACCTCACAGGCATCCTAGGATTTCACATCTCACAATGTGATATGCAGGCCTGGAAAATGCTCTCATTCTTTTAAGCAGTTGCCTGCCACCCGGTTATACAGATGCAGCACAGTTTATGTAATGGTTCCCTATTGGTGAGCACTGGGGTCCCCAGCTCTCTGTTACAATGTTGCTGTCAATGCCACTGCGCAGATATGAGCTCCCAGAAACACAAATGCTACGTTAATGAGCCACTGTGTTGGTAATGTGGTAGATGACATCAAATTCCTCCTACAGGAGTCATGCCATTTTGCACTCCCACCAGCAACACGGGAGTGTACATGTTTGCACAGGGCTCTTCTATAGGAGGAGTCACTGTGCCCTTGAACCAGCATGAGCTGAAAGCTGGCCTCAAGAGGGCAGGGCCAGCACGGTGCGTCATTTGCCCGAAGACTCTTCTGATGATCTGGAGATGATGGGCTGGGGCTAGGGGTGGGGAGGACGCCCAGTGCCTGGGGCAGAGACTTCTAGAAAACACGGTTGCTGCTCCCAAGGTCAGTGTCAGCAGGCCTGAGGTGAGACTAGAGCATCCTGCTGATCCGTGGCCCTGGAGATGAGCTGCTGCCCGGCTCAGGGCCACAGGGGCCAGCCCAGGAGCACCACAGGGAGGAGAGCCAGGGCCTGGTCCTTGTCAGTGTCAGCTCTGCGTTTGGTCAAATGCTCATCAGCCCCATGTATCTGGGAACTGGGCAACACTTTCCTCTAGGCCTGAGAGAAAGCAGGCTCATCTCCATTACTTATTTACCAAAATTTATTTCTACTCCATCTTCCTCCAAAAAGCATTTGAGGCCGCCACGTTCATTTTGGTGCGCTTTTGGCTATGAGTTCCAGAAACACAGTTCCACCAACCGCATGTGAACACACCAAGCTATAATTGCCTGCCCTCCTGAAGGGACCACAAACTTTAACGGGGAAGGGCCCATCCTCATTCCCCACCGTAGGCTCAGTGGCACAGGGTAAGTGGTTAGTTGATAAATAATTTGGGAGGACTGAGTGAATAACATGGTTTATAGTACAGATATGACAACTTTCCAAGGCTACAGCATTGGGATTTCAAAATATTTTATAAATTATCCATTTAAACACTTAAAACAGGCTCTCTAGATCAAGCACAGCCAGGCATCTGATCTCTACCGAGAAGCTGGAGGGGCCGAGGCCGTGAAGTCGCACAGGGAACAAGGGCAGACAGCGGTGGGGTGTCACTACTTCCCTAGCGGGTGCAGGGAGGAGGAGGGCTGGACTCCGAGAAGACACCCTGAAGATGTAAGCAAACACCCAGAGTCTGGTGTCAGAAGGCGTCTTGGGCAGTCCAAGGCCAGTGGCTGAACAGTGAGGCCCCACAGGGGAGGGGCTGGGCAAATAACCTGGGCCACGTGGACTCTCCAGGAAGTGGAGGCCCTGAGCTGGGCTGCGCTAGGGATGGGTTTGGTGGCGAAGCAACCTGAAGCCAGCGCCAAGTTCTATGCAACCTCTAATCAGTCAGGAGGCAGGATATCAAACCGAGTGGGTGTGGCCCTGGGGCTTTGGGGTGGCTTGTCCCCAAAGTAGCACCTAGTCCCAAACCATGCTCACAGAGGCTTCGAGCCACACTCCAGCTTGTGTACTCACACCTGAGCCACTGCTGCCTGTCCCAGGCTGGCCTCCCCACAGCAGCAGTCTGCTCTTTCAGCTGCTGCCACCAACCCTGAAAGATGGCACCCGCCCTTCTTTGCCACAGGATAAATCCAAAATGCTTGGCTGGCACTGAAGGTACAGTGCAGGGAAACTCCTCTTCCCCTGCCCTGGGGAGCAGGGCTCTGTGGAGTCCCACAGGCTGTACAGGGGAAGGATCCCAGTGGAAAGTGACAGCAGCACCAAGGCAAGAGGCCACTGGCCCTGGGAGTAGGTGAAGAGGGCTGACGCACCTGCAGCAGCACAGGGACATGAGGTCTTGACTGCTTCTCGACTCTGGGGCACCAGTTCAATCCAAGGCCCTTCTTGCATGCTTTCCAGGCCCCCGGAGGCCGACTGGAGCCCAGCCCTGCCTTGCTCCCATCTCTGGGGCTGCGTGCACACGTCACTCAGGCTGTCTGCACCTTCCTTTCAAGGCGAGACTCCCAGACCACTCTGGGGAGGCTGGTCTCTCAGTGGCATTGTATTTTGCACTAACTGCTCCCTGCTGGTTTTGGACTTACTAGTACTATGGCCCCGCAGCTGAGAGTCCTAGGTGTGCACCTGGTACCTCCCCTGTCTCATTCAGGACCCGGTGTTCTGGGGGACTGAGAGGGGAGGCCAGCAGCAGACAGCCAGGCAGGCAAGGTGCTTCTCCCAGGCCACCCCACACCCTGCCCCTCCTACCCTGACCCAAGGGCCGGGCCCTGTTAGGCATCTGTCCTCTTGGGCATGGGGTGGGGAGGTGAAATCTAGAAATCAGGACTGTGTTAATGGAGCAGGGAGAAGGAAGGGGGGTTGCTCGGAGGATGGGAGTGTGGGTTCCAGAGTGGGCCAAGGGCTAGGCTCCTTCTCCCAGGCCTGAAGAGCGCCGGGGAGGAGGGAGTGTGGGGGTCAGTCCCCCGTCTAGGGCAGTGAGGTCCTGGTCAGGATGTGGGAGGAGCCTAAGTCTGGATTCCCAGGCCCACCCAGGCCCTGATTTTGTAAAGTTCCCTGGAGCTGAGGGCCTGGACAACTGAGGCTGTTGGGTGGAGCAGGAGACTGGCAGCAGATTCTGAGACGGGCCTGGGGGGTCTGAGCAAAGGGAGAACAGAGCAGGGGCCTCGGGGGACTCTGCCTCCACCCACCTGCACCCATACCCACGTGCAGCCCAGTGACTCTGGCAGGAGGGAGGCAGCCCAGTGGGACTGGGGAGCGAGTGGGAGGGCTCCTGGCCTCCTGAGCGCTGGTTTTATTGTGAGCAGGGGACAGCGGTGGCTGTCGCACAGCACACTGGCCCTCCTGGCAGCTCAGTCCCCGTGAGCTGCCCCCGCTCAGCCCAGCCCTGGCACTGATACTCCGCAGAGACCTCGGAGGACGCCTTTTAGGACTTGTGCTGGTGGTTCCTGGGGCCTTCAGGCTTCTTGGCAGGTGGGGCTGCCGACGGCCCCTCCAGGGCCTGTCTCCGGATGAGCTCTGCGTACAGCCCGCCTTTCCTGACGAGCTCTTCATGGGTCCCAGCCTGGGGGACAGGACGGAGAGACGGATCGTAGCTCTAACCCAGTGTGGACTTCAGAGCCCTAGGAGGGCAGAACTTCTTCACCAGTCATTGGGCTCACGGTCACTTAAGCCAGTGTCCCTTTTGGGGACACTGTGAAATCGAAGCCCAGTGGGAAAGGAACCGGCACTGGCACAGCTGCGTTAGTCAGTGCCACTTCCCGCTTAGCTGAATTTTGGAAGAACGTGATTCCTCCTGCCCCCTTACAGAGCCCAAGGCTCTAACTCAGGACCTGATGCCCCACAAAAGCCCCTCAGCCTTCGCTTAAATGAGTGACTGGGGGCTATGAGGCCCCACGTAGCTTCTGGGCCTGCTCTTGACTGGTCCCCGATTGGGGTGCCTAGATCCGGGTGCCCAGCACTGCCTCCTCTGCACCTCAGCCCCTGGGCAGCCAGCCCTGCCCGGGCCCCACCCTGCCTAGCACCATACACTTTTCTGAGTACTTTTCCTTTTGGTCCTGGAAGCCAATGGTGCATTATACTGTCCCAGGGGACAGAGGAACAGACTGAGGCCCTGAGCGGTCAGGGTTCGTCTAGGGGCAGGAACTCTTGAATCCTGTGGGATGCTGCTTTCAGAATACGGCCCCAAGGCCAGGCCAGACCCTCATACAGCTCAGCTGAGCCACCATTCCACTGTCCTTGGCTGAGGCCATCCCTAACCCATTGACTCTGTCTCTCAGACCGAGACTAACCTCCCAGACACGTCCGTTGGCCATGACGACAATGCGATGGGCTGCACGGACAGTGCTGAGCCGGTGGGCAATGACCAGCACCGTGCGGCCTGTGCTGGCCCGGTCCAGGGCCTCCTGCACGACCCGCTCAGATTCTGCATCCAGCGCACTGGTGGCCTCGTCCAGGATCAGCACCGTGGGCTGCTTGATGAGAGCACGGGCGATGGCCAGGCGCTGCTTCTGGCCCCCAGACAGGGTGGTGCCCCGCTCACCTGCGGAGGGAGGGCGCAGGGCAGGGGCCTGAATCAACCCTCAGCTATGCACTTGGGGGTGGCCCACAAAGGGGCTCCGGGTCCTTCCTGAACTCCTTTCTGGCTCCTCTAAGTGCCCCTCTTGGCACTGCGCACCCTTCCCCTGCCTCTGGGTCTCCCGCACTGTGCACATTCACCCTGCCCCTCTGCGGGTGGGGTGACACCTCTCAGCCCCCCAATCCCACATCCTTGTGCAGATAAGTGTATGCAAAACAACACAGCAGGGCTCAGTGCACCACAGAGGAGGTGCCAAATGTCCCTCCCCAGCCATGGCAGGGCCTCAGAGCCAGGACGACACACTCCCTGCCCTGCGTCTGCTGCTCTAGCTGCTTTCCTGGCCCCCCAGGTCTCTGCTGTTGTGCGGAACATCCAGTACCAAAACCTGGACTCCTGGAGTATGGCGACTCCAGGGCGGTGGGATTCAAAGCCCACAGAGGACAGAAGAAGTGGCGGCCCGGGAGCCAAGAAGAACAAGGTGATAGCAGTACCACAGGTCAGCTGGGGGTCAGCCCTGAGAAGACCCAAGTGACCACAGAGTGTGCTAGGATGAGAGGTGGAAGGAAAGTGCCACCCCAGAGAGACATGGGGGAGCGCCACACCAGGACGGCGTGCAGTGTGAGCAGTGTGGAACACAGCGGAGCAGCAACACAGAACACACAGGGCGGGCTACAGACAGCAGTGCCACAACCCGGAAGGCTGGAGCTCCGTCAGACTGAACAGAGTTGAGAAGCCCAGATAGTTCCGCATCCTGCGATGTGCTGGAACAGTCTGCAACAGTGCCAAGATACTGGACGATAATCATACCCCAGAAGTTGAGAAAAGACGACCCGTGAGATAAACACGTAGAGCTGCACGCTGCACTAGGAACGTGCTACAGTGTGATACTGCATGTTCTAACACCGCAGGACCACCGAAGCCCTCCCCTGGGAAGTCAGGAGAGGGACCTGCTCAACTCAATCACCCTATTATGACAAGAGGAGAGACACGTCACAAAAGAAAAGGACAGGAAGGAAACGGGCCAGAAGAGGGCAAACAGTTACAAGGAGTTAATTCCCCATTTCTTCTCTTCAGTCTTGAGAAGTGGTGGCCCCTGTTGGGCTCTGTGAAGATTCCAAATGTGGCCAGGGTCCTGTCACATTCTTTTTTTTTTTTTTTGAGACAGGGTCGTGTTCTGTCATCTGGGCTGCAGTTGCGTCATCATAGCTCATTGCAGCCTCGAACTCCTGGGCTCAAATGATCCTCCTGCCTTGGCCTCCCAAACCCTGTCGTATTCTGTAACTCCTCTGGAGCCCTTCCTGTCTCTGCAGCCTGCTCAGTATGCTGTGCCTGAACCCCATGGGCCTGGACTCCCCTGTCCCCCTTGCCTATGGTTCTGGTTGTCCCTGACACACTGACTGTCTCTCTTCCTGGCTGTCTCTGCTCCCCTAGTCCCACCAAACCTTTCACCATCCATGTGGAATCCTGTCTCCCAGCCTCACTGCCACGGGGCCCTGCAGACCCAAGCGGGATTCTTATCCCTGGAACTCACCGACGATGGTGTTGTAGCCCTCAGGGAAGCTGCTGATGAACTCGTGGGCATTGGCTTCCCGTGCAGCTGCATATACCTCTTCATCAGAAGCTTCCAGCTTCCCAAAACGGATGTTCTCCATGATGGTCGTTCCAAACAGGACTGGCTCCTGTGGGGGGGCATGGGGATGGCATCCACAGAAACATTCTGACTCTGCCCCAGAACCGTGAGGGGCTGCCACGCGCATCAGGAGAGTCTACTTTGCCTAGACCAGATTAAGATCCCTTGGAGAATCAGAAGTTCAAAGTCAGAGGTCAAGCGAGGGCATAGACTGGCGCCTTAAAGGGGCCCAGAATCCCTTGTTGGGAGGGTGGGGGAAGGGCTGGGAGAGCAAGGCCAGCAGCCCAGCAGAGCAGAGGAGGAGGGCGGAGGGCCTCCCACTTGGGCTGTCTGCTGCTTGCAGGCAGCTACCCCACCCGCACCCCCACCGGGCCCGCGGGGGGACGAGTGCACCATCGCTGGCCAGCGCACTTTAAGCAGAGGGAAAGTGGCCGGAGGCTCAGTGCTCCGGGCTGGGCTGTGAGTCCTCGCTTAGTGGGTGGACAGTGGCCACCCGCAGTCCCAGCAACCCCACCGTGGGCTTCTCTAGACCTGGATGCTACAGGCTTCGCAGAGATCCCAGGGATCCTAACACCCCCACCCGCACACAGACTGCTTTAAATGGGGAACCAAGTGTTCCTGCCCTGAGAGACAAAGGCACAGCTGCAGGTGCCCCCAAAACAAGGACACCTCAGATCCAGACGACAGCTGGGGACATGTGAAGAAGGCCAAGGGCTTCCTGAGAGTGGCCAAATGACTAGGGTGGGGAGGGAAGAAAGGTACCTGAGGGCTGAGAGGACCAGGGGAGGACAGGAGTGGGGAGCTGAGGGCAGCCCCATGTGGCCCCACACCTGGCTGATGAAGCCGATGACCTGGCCCCGGAGCCAGGAGGGGTCGAGGGTGCGCAGGTCCCGCCCGTCCAGTGTCACCATGCCCGCCGTGGGGTCGTAGAAGCGCTCCAGCAGGGAAGCGACTGTGGTCTTTCCTGGGGAATTGTGGTTGTGCGGGAGGGAGGCAAGGGCTTCTGGACACTGTCCCGGCAAACAGGGTCCCTCGTGGCAGTGGAGGGAGACCCCACCAGGAGGGCCGGGACTCTTCCACTGATGCCAGAGGAAGAGTCAGAGGGTGGGCAGAGGGTGGTGGCTCCCCTTACCTCCCCCAGACTGGCCCACGAGGGCCACGATCTTGCCAGGGGGCAGCGTCAGGGTGAAGTCTCTGAGCACGTCGAAGCCAGGGCGGCAAGGGTAACTGGGAGGAGAGAGCCGTCAGACCAGGCTCCAGGCCGCTGTCCTTCCTGCTCCCTCCTGAAGGACCTCCATGGGGTGCTTGTTTAGGGGTATTAAGCCAGACCTTCCCACCTGGCTCCCCCAGCCCTCGGCCCAGAGGGGCCTACGCCCATGCCACTCAGTGCTGCTCACCTGAAGCAGACGTTCTGAAACGAGACGGAGCCTCGTAGGTGCTCCCTGGGGATGCGGCAGCCCCCAGACAGTGGGATGCAGGGGCTCAGGGCCATGTACTCGAAGACCCGGGCGCCAGCACTGAGCCCTCGCACCACCTGCGGGGGAAATCCAAAGTCTGCGGTGAGGTGGGAGCAGGGGCTGCTAGGGACAGGAGTCCCTGGGTGCTGGGTGGGGGCCACCGCAGCATCTCCTAAGCACCATGCAGCAGCACAGGGGGCTGTGGTTCTGGGCTCGGGTCCTCCTGCCCCTCTTGCCCCCACCCAAACCCTGTTCCCACAGCAGCACACAGATGACACTGGCCACTGGTGTGACTCAGGCCCCCCAGCTGCCACTCACCTGACCAAACAGGACAGAGAGGTTGGCCATGGACCTGGGAGGAGAAGGAGAGAGGGTCAGAAGAGCCAAGAGAAGGGGAAGGAAGCCATGGTGGGGTCGCCAAGGAAACAGAAGGCCTGCGGCCAAGTGCAGAGACGGCTCCTGACCAGGAACCGCGGGAGCCCTGGGATCTAGGGACAGCAGACCACTGAGCCCTGGCTCCCTCCTTGGCTGGACAAGGATGACAACAGTCTGTCAGCCTAGTCCAGGATCCTGGGGCAGTGTTCCAAGAGGAGATGGACATGGAAGGCAGGCACAGGGCCCCAGCGGTGTCCACCATACAGGGCGAGGCAGGCTCACAGTCATTCCACAAGGGACCCCCCGCTGACCCTGTGACCTCCTTGCTTCACCCTGGTAATGGAGGTGCTGCTGTCAACAGAGATCAAGGTTGTGTGGCCCACAGTGGGGGATCAGCTCTAAAAACTGATGTCACGTTCTTTCAGAGAAAGAAGAAAACAAAAGACACTGGGCTACAGAACTCCAGGGAGCCCCCAAACAAAATTCCGTGAAACAGCTTCTATCATGGGCTTGCCCTGCAGGTGTGTATATGTGTACGAGATGGGGTGTTTATCTGTCTAGACAGTGCGTGGCCTCCTTTGTCCGGGCAGGGCTGGGACAGGGTTGGTCGGCTGCTTTGAGGCTGGGAAGGAGGATGAGTCAACTGCTCCTTAGTCACTGGCCCCTGACCGGCCTGGCTGACCCGTGACAGTGTGTCTGCCATCGTGTCCCGGGTCCCCTCTTTCAGAAGAGGAAAGACTGACTCCCCAGCAATCGTCCAGCTGCAAGATTCACTTCCTCCAGCCCAGGAACCCATAAGGAAATGGCTCTGGCAGGCTCAGTGCCATCAGCACTTGCCAAGGAGTAGGCAGGCAGTGAGCAGGAGGCCAATCCAGCCAGCCGCGGTTGATGAGAAGGGGACACTCTCCATGACAGCTGGAAGCCATCAGGGCCTGGCAAAGGGGCTGGGCCACAACTGAAGTCCCCCACACATGTGACTCATTGGTGGGTGAGGACCGTGCTCTCAGGAAGGCTATGGGCTTCAGGCCTTGGGCCACACTCACGTGGGGCCTTACCTGGCCCTGACTGTGGTCTCTCCCCATGGGCACCTCCCCATGTCCCCTTCCTCACTTGGCCTCCTCCTTGCTGGACCCCAGCACTGATGCACGTCCCCTTGGCTTAACTGGCAGGACCCAGGAGGAAACACACCAGCTTCTTTAATACAATAAGACCCAATTCCTCCAAGATGGGCAGTGAAGACTCTCTACATAAGCAGGGCTGGAGGGGCCCCCAAAAGGATGGGCCTAGGGCCTGTGGTTGCAGGAGCAGCCGGCAAGGCAGACGGTGCAGCCTGGCTCCCTGGAGTCCTTGCGTCTGCAATGCAATTCTGTTAGAGGGCTGAGCAGGCCAGTGGCAGGTAAGGAAAGTCTGCACTCAGGCCATAAAGGGGAAGCAGGGCCTTGGAGGAGGGGCGGGGGCTGGCCAGAGCAGCTGCCTCCCCACAAGGAGATGTCCTGCCACTGCCTCCGTGAAGGGCTGAGGAGTGATTTCATCAAGGGAGCCAGGGGGTTTCTTATGGGTCCTCAGGACTAAGACAACTGTCCTGCTCAGAGAGACCAAAGCTGGGTCTGATCAAGGGAACGGGGTCAGCACGGGGGGCAGGCAGCAGAATGGACACCTGAGCCCCATCCCTACTGCAATGCGTCGTAATCGCTCAGCCACCTGGGAGCAGGTCCTGGCTGGAGGGAGGCGAGCGGCAGTAGTTAGTGTCTAATGGGACAATTTCAGTTCTGCAAGGTGAAAAGAGGTCTGGAGACGGATGGTGCTGATGGCTGCACGACAGTGTGAATGTGTTTAATACCACTGGACTGCACACTTCAAAATGGTCAAGATGAATTAAAAAAAAAAAACAAAAAAAATCAAAATGGTCAAGATGGTAAACTTTATGTTGCGTATATTTTACCATGATTTAAAACTATTTTTTAAAAAAGCTTATCAAGGAAGCTTCTGAGAGTCTTTTGGGAGGCTGAAGTTAACAACCGCATTCCTGAGTGTATCTGGGGGGTGTTATGAGCCCTGAAGGGCAATCTCACCCCAGCCCTGTGCTTCCCTGGGGTAGTTGGGCAGGCCTGGGGCTGTGCAGCAGACCCCCCAGAGCAGGCTGGCATCCCTGTCCCCTGACGCAGCAGGGCTCTGAGGGTGACAGGGTGCTCCATAGGGATGGGAATGGCCCCCACTCACCTCTGCACTGTCTGGGAGGCCACCAGGAAGGACATGAGGTCTCCCCCTGTGAGTTGCTGTCCAGCCACAAGGGAGCCCCCAACAAACAGGGTGCCCAGGACCATGCCTGCATGGGAGAGGACAGGTGGTAAGGGAGGGACAGGCCACAGCAAAGAGCCCAGCCCAGGCGTGAGCCTGAGTCTAGCCCTGCCCTGCCAACAGCTGACTGGGGGTTTCAGGCAAGCCCCAGTGAGTAGGGCGGGCACAGCTCCACGGCTCCCCGACGGCAGCCCTGTAGCACTCCATACATGGCTTGGTTGGGAGGTGGGTCCACTGCCCTCCCCTTGCCTGCGTGAGTTGGCAGCCCATCTGTCTTCGCTCTCCCCAGCCTGGACGCCCTTGGGACTTGCTTACTCACAGTTAAAGGCGATGTTGGAGAGCCCTTGGAACAAGGCGATGCCCCTGCCCAGATCCTCTGCCCTGCAGCGGCACTCCTCCAGCTCTGCCCCGTAGCGCCTGGTAAGAGAGGCCGGCCGTGCTCAGGAGACAGAAAATGGGCTGCAGGGTGGGCAGGCTGTGGAGGTTGCTCCACTGTGTGCCCCGCCCCTCCCAGGACTCACTCCTCCTCCCGCAGCTCCATGGCGAAGGCTCGCACAGTCCGAACGTTGCCCAGGGCCTCATCTGCTACACCTGTTGCCCTGGCGATCTGTGAGGAGTGCAGAAAATATGGAGCCAGGTTGGAGATGGTGAAGAGTGACAGGGTGAGTGGACAGAGAGAAGGCTGGAGTGGAGAAGGATGGCCAGGAATGCTGGTACCTGCTCCTGACACTGGCGAGACAATCTTCGGAGACCTGAGCCCATCAGGGTGCCAACTCCCATCAGGGCAGGTGTGGCCACCATCAGCAGCAGTGTGAGGCGTGTGGACAGCATGGACAGGGACACCAGGCAGCCAGCCACCTGGGTGAAGCTTCGTAGCCCCTGGGAATGGGAATGAAGGCAGGAGGCTATCTGGCATTAGGACCATGACACGGGGGACTTTACCAGGAGTTAGCTGGCTAGAGCTCTGCACTTACAAGGCCAAGGCCACAGATCTGACCCCTGGGAGGCCAAGTGGCAGTCGCAGAACGTAACCTTTTCTTGACCCAGCAGGTATGAAGGGGTCGAGTGAGAATGTCTAAGAACCATGGCATCCTCCCCCCAGACAAATCCCAGTTTACTTCTCTTTCTGTTTCAGAACGGAACAAAGAGCACTGCACGGGATACCACCCAGTGACTGTTACAGGCCGGGATCTGGCATAATCCAGTGGCCACAGCGACGGTGGGAGTGGACAAGGGGAGAACATCAGTATTCAGTAAAGAGCCATCTTGCATGCTCAGTGCTCGTCAGTGACCCAGGTGCTATGGGGACAAGCAGGCCGAGTGATTTTGCTCTTGCCAGGAAAGGCTCTCGTCTAAGTCCTTGGGAAGGCTTTGTAGAGGAGACAGGGTTTCAGAGCAGTGGAGCAGCAGCCCACCCTGACCTTGGACACTGCCTCAGCACCTCCCTTCCATGAACTTCCATGTTCCCTCACCAGGTCTTCCTGAGCTTCAGCCCCACTTCAGGGCTGGGGCAGGGCAGGGCTGGCATGGTGAGTGTGCGTGGGGGAGCGTGTGTGTGTATGGAGGGACTGGAGCCACTGACCTGGGAGATGACGAGCTTGAAGGATGACTTAAACTCCTGCACATCGGTTGTCAATCGGCTCACCAGCTGCCCTGTCTTTTTAGCATCAAAGAAAGCAATGTCTTGTCTGGCGGTGGGACACGGAGGCAGGTGGGTCGGAGGAGGAAGAGGGAGACATTACTTCAGGATGAGTCCCCACCGCTGCACCCCTGTGGGCCCATCATTCGCCCCCGCTCTGTACACTGTGGCTGGCAGTACCGAAGCAGGGAGCTGAAGAGGGCCCTCCGCATGTCCACAGCCATGCGCTCGCCAATGTGGGACAGCAGCACCAGGTACCCAAAGGTCAGCAGTCCCTGTGAAAGAGGCCTGGGCACTCAGGGATGCCCCGGGGCAGCTCCTCTGTGGCCTCCAGCCCACTCCCTGCTGTACCTGGATGCCATAGAGGATGAGCAGGTGCGTGCCGAGATTTCGAGACTCAGTCATGAAGCTCCCCACACGGTCCCTCGTGTACTTGGCCACAATTTCTACCAGCTGGCCCAGGAGCAGGGGGATCTGTACATTCACCAGTGCCGCACCCAAGGCCAGCTGGAACAGGAGGGCAGAGGGGACAGATGTTTGGGCAGGGGGGGCCTCTCCACCCTAGCCCTGACCTTGGCCCTTCTTCTCCCACTGCTGTCCTGGTTTCTGTCCATGCTGTGGCTGGTCATGTGGACACACCAGTGCCTCTCTAAAGTTAAAACCCTGCCTTCCAGCCACCTTGTACTGATTGTCCTGCCATCCCTCAGACTCCAGGTCCTTGGGATAGCCCTTGCTGCTTCCAGGAGGTCTGAGACACAGTGAGGCAGGAATGCTGTCCCTGTGCACCTCTGGCTTGGAGCCTCTGCCGACCCCTTCCTCGGTCCTTCCCTGTCCCCAGTATGGAGAAGCGGGGAAAGCCTCACCACGATGGCTACCCCGAGGACCAGCAGGTGGGGGCGCAGAAACTGCCAGAAGAGCTTCCAGTTAAAGCGAGACTCCACAACACTGGGTGTGGAGCAGGCCGGAGGGGCCTTTTCTGCCTCACACAGTGCCACGAGGCAGAGGCGGGAATGCTTACTCAGCAGCACAGGGCCTAGCAGGGCTCCCCCAACCCAGCACCAGGCAGAGGGGCTCCGGCTGGGAGCTGGGGGGGCTCGAGGGAGGTGGGCCCGAAGTTGAGACCGCAGCTGGGCCACGGCCCTGAAGAGGAATGAGCTGTGGCCGCCATCAGAGTACCTGTAAGGAGAGAAAGGCATTGACAGCTTGGGGACCTGACTGTCCTCCACCTGACCAGTACGCCAACCATGCTCTGGCTAAGCCTCTGGACGGCAACACTTCCTCTTCTTTCGGGCCCTGGACTTTGCCTTTCTCAGGGACGATCTGAAGCAACTTCAGTTTCTAAGACAAACGTACACATGCAAAGTCACTGAGAAACAAGGAGGCTGAGCGTGGAACCAAGCCTTAAAAGTGTTTCCCCGGCACTGTCTCTCAGACCGCACCCAGCCTGCAGGTCCCCCTCAGCGTCCAAGGGCGCCAACCCCTGAGTCAGCAATGGCCGCTGGTCCACAGCACTCCCCAGACAGAGAGGGGCCAGGAGGCCTCAGTGACCAAGGCACAGAGGTCAGGAGGGGGCGAGATCCTTCTGTGCCTGGCACTGCACCTGCTCACTGCAGCCATCAAGGCAGATGCAGCCCCCACCTCGCTGGGAGGGAGATGGCTTTGTTCTCACCTGGCAGATGAAAAACACCATGTGGAGCTGACAGAGTTGAAATAATTTGTCCCCAAGCAGGAGAACTGGGACAAGAGGGGAACTCCGCTGTCTGAGTCCAGCATCCAGGCTCATTCTATCCTGCCTGTGTGCCCTACCCGAGGCTACAGGTGGCTGGGCCAGGGCTGGACCTGAGTCTTCTGACCTATTACGCCCCATCATCCTGCCTCCCCTCCTGGGCTTGGAGTGCTGAGGGGGCAGTGCATGAAGGGAGAAGGCAACATACCCCTTCTCCACTGGCTGGAGGAAGAAACAGAGCAAAATGGAAATTCAAATATCTTATCATCTTAGATAGGCTAATTACCTGCTCTTTCCTTCAGTTATCGGATCTAAAAAATGGTAATGTAGACTGAACTGGTAACTGTAGACATTTTGCATGTACTGTGCATAGGTTCCCTGATCAGAAGTACAGAGAAGATGGAGGGGAAAAGGACAGCCAAGGCAGCTCTGCTCACAGTCGGCACACTGATAGCACGAACCCTCTTCCTCCTCCTCAGGAAGAGTAAAGGCCTTCCAGGAGGCCTGGGGCCCAGGGGGAGGCGGGTAGGCTTCTAGGCAGAGGGAAAAGTGTCTACGGAAAGAAAAGTTTCAAGAATAGAATGGCTGAAGCCTGGCAATCAAGC